TGAGCGCAGACCCTTGGTGCAACCCCGTAATAACTGAAAAGTGTTTAGAGTCACCTCCTACTATCCTAACCCGAGTCTTAGCTCCAGCATACATGTCTTTAATCACCCTAATATAGTNCGCACCTGACCTATCATATGCACTTGTTTCTCCTTCATCCACTTCAAATGCACAATCTTGAGATCCAAAATATGCATGCACAAACTCATTGGTCAAAAAATTTAGCAACTAGAAAAAACAGAACGAGCAGGAGACAAATCACCAAAAATAAAAATAAATAAGATACCTGCAACTGCATCACATGCAGATGTCTCCACCTCCTCTTGCATGCTACTACCTGTCCTCTGGAATTTCAAATAATATACCAGAATCAACAAGTACGGACAACAACAACAACAACAACAACAACAACCCAGTATAATCCCACAAGTGGGGGCTGGGGAGGGTAATATGTACGCAGACCTTACCCCTACCCCGAAGGGTAGAGAGGCTGTTTCCAGGAGACCCTCGGCTTAAAAAAAGCAACAAGAGACGTTATATTAGTACCATAAAAATGCATAATAAAATAACAGCTTTATAAGAGATATGAAATACAGAATACGACAATACGAAATAGATGGTTGGTATAGTAAAACCTAGCAGGTAAAGCCCTACATCAATAGACGACCAATGGCATTCTTAGTCTAACTCCTAACTGGCTAGTCTCACTCTATTGTGCTGTAGAAANATTTGATTCCCCTATAGTTGTTACAGCTCTGGACATCACCCTTGTTCTTATACAACGGAACCATTGTACTCCACCTCCACTCTTCAGGCTCTTCAGGTACGGAAAAAACATAAAAGCATACAGCAAGAGGTAGCATAATCCTTACAGGAACAAGGTTGGATTGTATACACCAGCATCAACAAGTAAGATGAAAACATAAAAGCATTCAGCTAAAGCTAGCATAATCCTTCAAGGTTACAAGGTTGTCCATATACAGTAAAGTTGCAACTCTTTCTACTTTATCTCTAACAGCTTACAGCTGTTGGCATGGTGGTGTTTTTAGTGCTAGGTATTGACAAACCAACTCATTCATGTAAGATGTGCTGCCAGGATTAGCAGTCTTAAAAACAGATATTACCACCAGAAGAACAAAAGCATTTGCATGCAGTGGAAGAAACTCATTAAGTTAAAGTACACAAGTAGGGAATGCATCAGATTAGAGTTCCAAAAATTCGATATACAAACTATACCATCAGGGAGAGCAGAAAATGCAGAACACTTATGTCAAGCAACAATATGAAAACTATAGAAGAGCAAAATATGTTACAAGACATTAAAAAGTAAAAACTACATCCCTTCCGTATATAAAGGTGGATCCACTCTCCAATGAAAGTCATAAAATCTGCATCCAAGGGTGTGGCCTAGTGGTCAATGAAGTGGGTGAGAACCATGAGGTCTAAGGTCAATTCCCAGCAGAGACAAAAAATACTAGGTGATTTCTTCCCATATATCCAAACCTTGGTGGATAGAGTTACCTCGTACCTATTGCTAGTGGGAGGTAGCAGGTATCCCGTAGAATTAGTTGAGGTGCGCGCAAGTTGGCCCGGACACCACGGTTACAAAAAAAACCATTAAGTTTCGGCCTTTAGTACTAAAAACATATCCCCCATGTCCAAAAGTAAATGTAATTTTCAAGTAAATGACGTCTAAGATGCTAGAGCTTTTGTTGCTCACCATAAAGTCAGTTGGGAGCAAGAAATGCAGCCACACAACTACCTTTTTCACAATTTATAGCCTAAGTGCAGAAAACGAAAGAATCAAAGCTTCCTGAAAAGGCTTTGGATAAAAAAAGTTGGATGACTGATTAAGAGTCGCTGATACTTGTTTTTACACAAAGGTCAACAAATTGTTATGATTGGAGCACAAGTTGCTATTCAGTAATGCAGAAGACGTAAAACTAAAGCTAGCCAAATTATAATGGTCTATATGCTTACCTCACAGAGTTGCACATGAGATTCGATAGATATTCTATAAGCATCCATCGCACCAAGCGGCACAGAGTAGAAGAGGTTCTCCTGCATGAAAGATTATGAATATCAATTACTATGATAAGCCAACTAAACAAGGAGCACTGAGTATAACCCCAAGAACGAACTGATTTAAGCCGTAAGGAAAAATCTAAAATAGTTTCATGCCACAACAAAATGAGATTTAAAGAGATCAGTGGAGCACAAGAAGAGAGGCAGGTTCAAGTTTAACATGTAAACACATCCATACCTCTGTCAAATGGTCTTCCCATGATGTGTCCACAATTCCCCCGTCAGATATCCTATCTGGAGTCAATGGCGCCTCAGCTTGACTTTTTGGAACATCTGAGTCATTGTACTTCAGAAATCTCATAGCATACTTCCCAATAGCAATAGGGTAATCCTTTTTAGGTCTTGCGAACTCCATAGTTTTGCTTTTCCCCTGCCATAAGATATGAAATAAGCATAACAAGGATCAAATGATATCCCCCTTTCCTCTCTTCCTTTGGATAAAAACTACAAAGGAACTTCTAGAAGTTTTACTTAGTTCAATTCGTAGCTTTACACTTGCACTAATTGTGTTTCATTTAATTTCGACAAGATGGACAGCTGACAGTGTGAGGAAACAAACCAAAAGCCTATCCCAACTAATATGAATTTCATTTGCCAAGAAACCGGATCACACCTGCTCCTCTATCCAAAGAACCTTTAATCTACCAACTCAAAGTTAGTCCACCCTATTAAATGAATGAGCTTTACGTAAGATTTACATGGTAAGTAAATCACAAGATTTAGGATCCTCGGTCAAATCCTACTAAATAGCATACCAAAACCAGATGTAAGCATTTAAAAGGGCAAGGAAATTCCTGTGAATGCTATAATCAGACTTTTATTTTTCGGATTATGTGAAAAGCATACATAATTAGGCAACAAGAGATCCCACAAACACAATTTTAACCTATTGGTCCTCCCTATCTTTTTTTCCCTAATCATGTGTTTAAGCATCAACTCAAAACCAGAGAATGCTAAATGCCTACTTATGCCTGCATCAGAGAGATTAGAAAGGAGTATATCATATCAACTACTCCTTAGCAAAGTATGCACTCAGAAATGAAGGAAGCTACAACTGTCCATATAAGCAAATAGGGATATTAACCCGATGGGCATAAAACAATTAAGCAACGAGATAACAAAGACCAGTGATGAGCTCTTTTCCCCTCCTTAGTGAACGTTCTTCCTGAAAAACACACAGACCGTTGGGAAGAAAACAGAATAAGCTAAGATTGTGCAAATTACTCTATATACCTCGATAGAGTGCCAGAAATCCATGACAGCTTTGGCCAGGTTGTGAGCTACTCTTTTTTTCTCCCAACTACGATTTTGTTCTTGGAATCTCAACCGTGAGCTAAAAGCAATTCGGTGACATATTTGACCTGCAGCAGTTATCTTCCAAAGACGTTCCTACATGAAAAAATATTCTAAATCAGGTAAGTGCCTAAACCTGGAAAGAAATAATGAAAATACTATTCCAGAATCAAAAGAAAACTAAATCCTGTTCCAACAATCCAGAACTGTGCATTTTGACACATAGCTAGAAAAGAAGAAAGGGGAAAGAAACATTAAAGGCGAAGATCTACTAAGCTCACACCTGAGCAAAATCATTTGCCAACCAAGCCATTTCTTCAAGTACATAATCCCATTGAGATTTTCGACAATTCTCCGGTTGACAGGCTACAGCAGATAATTCTGCAATTCTTTTACGCTTCGCCTGTTTGTTACATTACATTAGATCTACAACGTCAGCTAAAAAAGTAATAGCAAGATCTCTGCAAGCTTGAGTAGATGAGGACGTGAATTGTTTTGAAGGTCAAAGAGAACAACCTCTATAACCTGTGCCTCTTTCAAGATCGAGTCTTCATCAACCTGGATCCTAGGTGCTTGTCCCTCGGGAGCAAGATTTGAAACTCTAGGCTGTGATACACACTCGGAATGCTTTGGTATACAGGAATCAATCGTACCTTGAATACCGACATTACAAATAGTTTGGGAGTTGGAATCGTCCCTTTTAAGCACATTACATTTTCTTACGGTTTCCGATTCAGATGGGCCAACTTCTTCCATTCTTTCCAGGATATGTTTATCTTTTACCTCACTTTGCAAATTAGATACAGTACTGACACGTTCTTCTGGTGACTTAGGTAAACAACCATTACTTTGGTGATCGCGTTGACCAGAATTAAAATCCTCATTATATAAACAACTATTGACATCAGCCTTCATCTCGTTCTTTACATTAACATCACTTCCAATAACTGGCGTCCCTTCTGGCACTACCAGTTGTCTGTTTAAGTCGCCGTTGGAATCCAAAATACTCAGATTGGTACACATTTCACTATCATTATGTCCATCTAGACTGAGGCTAGTCTGGGTGCAAGAAGATTCCGAATCTAAACCCTTTGTTCCCAAAATAGCACCACTATTTTCAGCTTCATTTGGGAAGCTTGGCTTATTATCATTTCCACCACAGAACCCATTCATTTGGACCGAACTGGCTTGATTATCAACCTCCCTTTCAGTTCTATGTGGCTGACAATCAAGACCAGCAAAATCTACCTTTTCCTTTCCCAGCGACAATTGAGGCCTTTCAGGAGCTTCTTGAATAGACATTTCCTGGGCACCAGTGAGTGAGTTCTGATCATGTTGTCCATCAGGTAAACCTCTGGAAGTACTAGCATCAGGAACAGTATGCAACATATCGTCTTTCTTAAAGCCAGTATTTGACTCTGGTTTAACACCATCTACTTCTAAGCCCACCTGATTATCAGAAGGCGTAGTCTTGAGAGCCATACCACCATTTGGACTAGGCGGCCGTGCAACGTTCAAAGAAGAGTTCTGGTCCTTATCTGAATCAGAAACCGGTCCTTTTAACTCTTTGGGAAACTGTTGTGAAGGCAAAGACGTGCCATGACCACCACGAGCTATATCAGATGAACTTGATCTAGCACTGTCGCGATTCGGTCGGGGCCTGTATCTTCGCTTGTATGCTTTTCTGGGGATATCAAAAGCAGTAGCATTACTCAATTCTTTTGCATTTTGACTTTCATTGAACTTAGAGGACTGCCCTGATGGAGTAACATTGCTCCTACTGGGATGTCTACAGCCCCTATCACTACCAACAAATTTATTTTCCCCGTCAAACAGCATGAGATTGTCAGCACTGTTGGGTTCACAAAGTTGAGGAGCTCCAGGTCGACCGCTACTTTCAGCTGAGTCTCCATGAGGTGAAGCGGTAATTGCACGACTACCTTTTACTACACTGCAATGCCAAAGGGAAAATTAGACTACTGTAACCAATACAGGATTAAGAAACAGTAACAGAACACCTGAGAGATTACCTGGTCACGAACTGATCCGGATGTTTATCTGGCAGTGAGGTGGATTGAACACTAAGTGAAGCAGCATCCCCAAATTTGAATTCCAGGGGATCACCACCCTGCAAGAAGAAGTATCCAGTCATGTCAAAGCTACAAGCAAAGAATATCTGAACATCTAACAAGAATTAGACAGCCTTCCATACTTCCTCCAGAAATTCTAACTGCCTCCTCCTTTCCTGTAGGCCATCACACTCCTGCCTGTTAACAAGAAAGAATCTCACCATAAGTTGGGACAGAGTACTTTCTAATCATAAAACTCGACATAGGCAGGTGAAAAAAAACAGAGTATGCTAGCATTACCTTAGCTTTGCATGGACCTTCTCAATTGCTGCTGTGCGCGGAGAACTTTTGGTACCAATACCAACTCCGCCTTCAACAAATCCTCCCATGGAATCAACCCCGGCATTGACTACAAGATCAGATCCAATACTACATCCACGCATTACCTCCTTAAAAGCTACAGGGTGTTGCCCTCCATAACATAATCCTTAGTCAAATACCTACAAGCAAGATAATAGTAAGATGCTGTCGAAGAATCAAAATAACACCAATGGAAGTAACAATGGTATCATTATATATTAGCAACAATTTTTTTTGATTTGTATCATTACCTATTAGCAAAATTATACGCCTTCTTTGGGTATGACAAGGGGAATGACTTGCTTTAAGAATATGTTTGGCTGTAGCATACATGAAAATTTCTAGCTTATCACTTTCTGTACCTCCATGAACACGATGGCATTAAAGTTTACAGTTAAGAATGTTTAAATTACCTTAATTTGTTAATAGTTCTAAAGAACCGTTCAAACACTGGGGATCATAGAATTTACGTGCTAAACTATTGCTCTCAGATGCAGCATGGCATAAGCAATAAGTCCCATACATCATATCTAACACCCAGTTTTTATTCCCAGCATAAATCAACACATTGGCCGAAGTGCTTGTTTAAGCCGGGAAAAAAAGAGCATGTTCTTAAATACAGTATATAGATTGGACGAAAGGTTGAATTCTTACGACCAATCCACATATGGTTACTATCTCAGAAACACCTTTTCCAAGGAGAGAAAAAAATTTAACAATATGTTTCAGAAGAAATTACAATTATAGCAGATCTATGGCAAACATATGACATAACACTTGCTCAGGCAAAAGACATACTAACAAAATCAACTCCTTTGGAGCATCTACAGTGGAATTTTTCTCTTTAGTGGTGTTGGGGGAGGGAGAGGGGAGAGGGGAAGCAGCACATGACCACATGCAATCAAGAGACAATATCCATGGGAACAAATCTTTGGAGTTAATACTGCACAAAGCAAAGCAGTTTATGTTGGAAAACTAGGCACGTGCTAAGAAGAAGCAGAAAGAACAGATCACCTAAAACTTAAGGAGAAATAAAACAGAACAAAAAATAAGTTACTAAATGTGCACATTCTCGAACAGGTTTACTTTTTTAGCATTTCCTGTTAACATGATAAAAGAGAAACTCTGCATTCGGGTGCAGGAGCATTTACATGGGTTTGATTGCTCATAGCTGTAGTTCATAGATATCCGTTAACCATTCAATCTAACAAACAGTTACTATATCTCAATCTCTCGAATGCAGCTGTTGGAGAAAAGCTCATTATGCTACATGATTGGACAGTAAAGCAGATTGCAATTTTAAGACACAATAAGGGAGCATTTTCCGCGCACTAGTGTTCATATCTCATTCATTTTCTGCAAGCACACTCATTTTGTGATCAGCAGCTTCACCATTCTGGATAAAATCCCGTGAGAAAGATGAGTCTTAGCTCACGAAGTATCTCACTTCTTATCATGCACGGCACAATAACTCCCCATATTAAATTAAGCTCTTATTACCACTGAACATGCAAAACTTACGAACAATTGAAGCAAAATGCAAAAGCACAGATTGAAAATTCTGAACTTTACACTCCCCAATTAACAAATAAACCCTAAAAATACCAATTCGAAATATTCTAGGGTTTGCACGAAAATGAACAGAGTCCAAATTCTAGGGTTTGTAATGCTTATGAACCAAAATCAATACCTGAATTGCAAATAGTTATACCCGAATTGCAGATGGGTCTAGCAATGGATCGCCCCGAAAACTTTCTCCAATTTCTAGGGTTAGGTACCTCAATTCAAAGCGGGACACATTTGCCCTAGAAATTGAGAAGCCATGAAAAAAAAAAATTACACTCTGCTATCCTCTATAACTGCAAAATACGTGCGTATAAACACATAAATACGTATGTTTGAGCGTATTTGATCATTGAAAATGCTCCCTGGATCGTCTTCTCGTTCGTTTTTCTTATTTTCCTCCTCTATTCGTCCTCGCAGAGTAGTGGGCTGGATATTCAAATCGGGTCAATTTGGGCCCTTTTTTGCCTCCCTAAATTTATAAATTGCATAACATATTGTCCTTCTATAGTTTATTTTTTTATAACATACTTTCCTTCTATAGTATTATTTTCTTTTTCATGTTCAATAATACTCTTACCATCATTGATAGCATTTTTTTAAATAATAATTGGAGTGTATGAGGATCTATCGAAAACAGTCTTTATGCTTTTAGGGTAGGGATAAGACTGTATACATTTCTCAAATTTCATTTGTGGGATTATACTAGGTTATTGTTGTTGGAGTGTCCGGATCATTTTGCATGTGCTCCAACTATTTGATTTGATGATTGGCGATTTCTCACCAATATATGCACTAGGCAGACAAAAAGAATCATCTAGCGTTCATATTGGAATATATAATAGTGGTTTTTGAGTCAATTTGCATACACCTCAACTCTTTGGCCGAATATCTTTTGCCTCCTACCAGTATAGATATTAGATAAATCTACCTACCACGTCATGCATATAAAAGAACATCTAATATATTTTTTATTATATTAGAATTTCAATTATAATCTCTCGAGATTTTCATTACTCCCACTAGAGATGCACCTATTACATATAGATTTATAACATTATATATCATAGTACATTCTATATTTGAATTAATATATTTGTGTATCATATTGAGTTGCATTAAATTCTAGTTCACATCCAACGATTTAAACTACAACATCACTTAGTCAATTCATTACTTGGATCGGACCACGTTCTTTTTTTAATTTTATCCACAGTGTGCATAACGATAGAAATGTATTAAGATGTTCCCACACTCTTCTTTCTTTAAAAACTAGATAAGTTTCGGCCCGTGCAAAAATAAGGGCCCAACAATTTCAATTTGATGTAATAGTTAGCCAATTAAGTAGAGATGTCTTTACTTTTTAGCTACTATTTAAAATGTATTTACTCTTTAGTGAGTGCTTGATAAATTTTTACCCGTCCGGACAAAAATACCTCAGTGCTAAATATGGTTGATGTATAAATATTAAGGACATGGTATCCTTAACTTCATGAATGTTGTGTAAATATTAAGGATAAAGTGTCTTGTATTTGCACATTACGTTGTTAAACTTTAGGATATCATGTCCTTAACATCATTTGTGCAGTATAAATATTAAGAATATGGCGTCCTTAACTTCATGTTTGCAGTGTAAATATTGAGGACACCGTATCCTTAATATTTACACAACATATGAAGAAAGGGTAAAAATATTTTTCCGTGTTAATTTTAATAGAGTAGTGGTTATTTTTGCTCAACATTTAAAATACTAGATAAAAACTAAATATCTTGTTAAAAAGTGATTATCCCATGCCATTTCTACTCATTTGTATGTTGGATATTTGTGCATTCCCTAATTCCTAATAGTAATACATTTTGCTATTGTCTTTGTTTTAAAGAGCTTGTTTTATTTCTTCCAATTTCGAGCAAAGGTTTATGCTGAATGTATTTAATAGGAAATGAAATTTTAGTAGCTTTATCCTAGAACAGTAAGAATAATCATGGAAGCTTTTTTTCCTCTGCTCCTTTTGTTCTTCGAATGTCCTCCTTTTGGGGGGTTTACTTCTATTTTCTTTCTTTTTAACATCTCCCTTTTTTTTCCGAGGGCCCTCCTATTTAATAACTTAACATAATTATAGTGAGAAATACTTTTTTCACGTTTCACTTATATTTTCTGAAAAGTGGAAGTGACGAAATTATCAATTTGCTTCGTTGAACTGAAACTTTTCTAACTAAATATATATTATGGTAAATTTTGCAACTCATATTGAGCTTATTGATACAAACAAATGTATAAAGAAAGTTTCTTTTTCTCTTTTATTTAATTGGAGTTTTAGTATGTTATCCGAAAAAAAATTCAAATCCAAATTAAAATGTACATTGATTGAACCTCCCTTTCTAGACTAATTAAATCCTGCTTAAGCCATTCTTCGCCAAAAATATTTGATATTCAAGAAACTTCAAAAGTATAATAAGCTACAACTTTTTTTGCATTAATAAAAAAATAAGTAATGAACTTAATTAAATGTAAATATAACCTCGACAATTTAAAAATCAGATTCTAATATCGAAATGCTTGTAAACTTTCTTTCAAAATAAGATCGTACAAAAGATATTGAAAATTTTAACAAACATAATTTATTATTATAAACATAAATTAATGAGTTGAGCTTTACAAAATGAATGAGGATTCATATCGTTGGCCCCAACTTATTTAGGACTAATGTATAATATTTGTTGTTGTTGTTATTGTTGCGTTTGACTTTTCTTGTCCTTTAAAATGCATGTTATGAAAGGATATTTTTCTCCATTTTCTTGCTTTAACCGGAATCTTTTTAATCAAATTTGTATTATGCTAAAAAATTTGAGTTAAAAAATCTTTAATTATCTATTAAGAGTAAGATAAAAGTTTAAAATATCAAGATTAGACCTAAAAGAAATATTTACATTAAAATAGTATAAAATTTAGGTGCGGTCAAAAATTAGTTGTTCACGGGCAGTATAAAAAGGTTCAAAAATGAGGGTTCCAGGATTTTTCACATTTCTAGCATTTTTAAGAAATACATTGATTAGTATATTCATTTATAGTAATACTATTTAAGTTAACTCGTAAATAAGCACACTAATTAATTAAAATTTTGAAGCTCTAGTATAACATAAAGTAACATTTGAATAATAAATATAGCTTTGTCAACATATGATACCAACAGAATCTATCAAGAAAAATATCAAGATTTTGTGACACTATTACAAGAAATACCAAAAAAATTAACAATGTTATGAAACAAAGACTATAAAGTAAAGACAAGTATAGAGAGAAACTGATATATTATTCGAATTCAAACTGATGTACATAATGAACTGAAATCTCTTCTGTTTATAGAAGAAAGGAAGCTGCTCTGTAAGCTGCTACTACAAGCTGCTGTGTAAGCTGCTACTATAAGCTGTTGTGTAAGCTGTTGTGTAAGCTGCTACAAGCTGCTGTGTAAGCTGTTGTTGTACCAGATGTAAGCACGTGATTTTTGACCCTCCCCGGGAATTTTTACGCTCTTAGCTTAAAATATCTAA